AGTTCCTTCATCCGAGCCTCTGAAGAAACAATGGGTTCATTTTATTTTCTCTGGAAATGCGCCGACTCGACTCCCAGTTTTGTACGGTCCAAACATTTCACTGACGACTGTTTCCTCAACTCGATGAACGTCTGAAAATAAATCGATCGAGCTAAGTTACCAAGCAACAATTTCAGATGTGCAGCTTAATTGTTCAAATTCAGACAGGTAAGTTAATCTTGCTCTCAAAATCGTTCGATAATGTTTATGCATCAGTAAGTCAAGCCAGTGACTAAAATATCAACTTCACATCGTTTCTTTAGGATGAAAATAATCTTATTTAAATTGTGAACAAATTATACACTCTCAGAAAAAAAAGTACAAAAGCTGTCACTGGGGCTGTACCTTTTCAAAAGGTACACTTTTGTACCCAAAGGCTGCATATTGATACCTTAGTGGTACATATTAGCACCTAAAATGGACATATTAGCTCCTGGAATGGACATATTAGCACCTAAAATGTACATATTATCACCTAAAATGTACTTGGCACCTAAAATGTACATATTAGCACCTAAATGTACATATTAGCATCTAAAATGTACATATTAGGACCTAAAATGGAAATATTAGCTCCTGAAATGGACATATTAGCACCTAAAATGTACATATCAGCACCTAAAATGTACATATTAGCACCTGAAATGTACTTATTAGCACCTAAAATGGACAAAAGTTTACCTTTTGAAAAGGTACAGCCCCAGTGACAGCTTTTGTACCTTTTTTTCTGAGAGTGTACAAAAAGCGATCAAAGAACAATCTTTCCACACAGCGCAACTCTGGACAACTCGTTATGAAATCAATGATGCAGGTTACACACAGCACAACGAAGCTCTTACTGTACGTACATCATCGTGTTTGCATTGGTGAAAGCATTAGAGAGAGTGCAGAAACTGTTGCATTAAGATCTTCATTCTCGCGATCAACATACTGCTCAATGCTCATCACAGCAACATTTTATGTGATGAGAATCTAAATACTTCAAAAACTTTTCACAATTCGGTAATCTCGATATCTGTAATAGTAAAAACGTTTAATAGCTGTAGTAAAAGTATTCGAGAGAGTTTCACATGTAATATGTAGCTATTTCAAATGCAAGCAAGTCAGCCAATCACAGCAGTGGGCGGTTACACTCAATCCCACAGCAGACACGCCCCTTCAAACAGAGCGTTCAAATCAGAGGCTAAAATCAGGCTAGGATAAATGCCCTTTATTAGGGCATTGAATTTCACTTTTATGCCAACTGTAAAGATATATTTCTCTGAGCAGAGCAACATAAAAGAAGTTTATAATTCTCTGACAATGAGATCACATGAAGCAAAGAAACCAATTTCATCCCTTCAGGGAACCTGTGTTTGCTTTGTATAGATTTTTTTTTCATAGTCTAAACAACAAGAAACTCGTGTGTCCTCTCTCTCAAGAGATCAGCTGTAGGAGGATGAGCTAAGAAACATCACAATGGTCTCTTCCCCCACAAAGTCGCTCCAGTGTTTAGTAGACTGAATAACAGGTGGTGGTTTTCTAGCAAGACCTCAATTGCACAGCTGACAAGAACACTTGCACAAAACATGTGATACAGCAACATTTCAGTTTCATCATCTTTGCAATGCCAGCGAAACAGTATACTAGCAATGTGCTTTGACTGGTTATGGAATTAAACATAAAGCAAGACAGTAAATCAGCATGTTTCGAAATGTCATTTCATCCTTTTGTGAACGAATATTTCGTGCAAATGAACTCTTTTTGTGTTCCACGCGAAAACAATTACTGTTTTTTCCGAAAGACTGAGGGTGGGGATAATCGAAAACTGCATTTCATCAACAAAATCTCGAAAAACCAAAGCAATCAAAAGGTTGTTTTTCTTGTGGTTGGTCCTGCAAAATCAGCTTGTGGTGAACTTAAATGCCCAGGTTGCTATAAAGTGGCAGAGATATTTCAAATGAAAAGCTAGAACTGCCTATCCATCATCTGTTTCTAACACATGGACAAAAGAACTCCCACAATGCCTCTCTGTATAACTATCAGATGGTCACCCCAGACCCTCCATTCCTCTGGAATGCTCCAATTCTATTGTTTTAAATAAAACACTCATTTTTAGTGCTAGCTTAGACTTGTGCTGAAGTGCCTGTCATGAACGTGTGTTTCAGGATTGAGAGACAGATGGGAGCAGATGGTTGGAAGAGGTAAAGGAAAGAAAATGTTGGGATATTTTATGATTCATCCAAGGTATGTCCTAAGCCGAGGAAGGGAATGAATGTTTACAACTAACTCAAATACTGGCCCTCTGCCTGAATATGCAAACATCCAAACTGCACGTGGTATAAAAGTGTTAGACCAAGTACCAAGAAATTTGTTCCACAGGGCTGTTGTGTACTTGTTTAACACCCAAGTAAATTGTGTTTTTTGCTAGTCGGCCTTCATCAGGTCAGTGAATATACAGTCAAAGGATAATAATAATAGTGATAATACGTTCTTAAACCCAAAGCGCAAATGCCATAATGTCAACATGGCATTAGCAGATGTAGTCGGCCATGTATTTATGTTACACAACTGCATACTTCATCAAGTTTCCCATCAAATTCAGTATACTCTGACATTTTTGGTAATTTGATCTGGGATTTATGGACACAAATATTACATATATCTTCAATAATCCTTACTAAAGCCCTTTATAGAATGATTTCAAAAGCAGTATTAAGTTAAATGTTCACTGTCAGTGGATATGCCACAAAATAACACCCTACACAAAGCCTTTTCATCTTACAATCACTATATTTATATTCACAGCCTATACTTCAACTAGAGACATCAAGAGAACATGTTTCCTACATGTTATCATGACTATATTGAACAAAACTCAGAACTTTGTCCATCCATGAGTCTGGCTGAGTGGTCAGAAAGGATGGGGATGGAGGACAGATTCATACTAGAAGTTTCTTTCCATCCAACACAGTCTCATGAAAATGCAACCCGGTCTCATCCCAAGATGTCATATAACTGACGTTTTGGGACGTCTTTTGACCATACGTCAATATTCGCCTTTTTAGGGCCCCCTTAAACGTCGGTAGATGAGGTTATGGGATCCTAACTCTACCCCAGACCTAAACCTAACCCTAAACCTAACCCGTCACCTAACTGACATTAAAGGTAAAGCGTCAGTTGTATGACGGCCCGGGATCGCCATCTACCGACGTTTAAGGGGGCCCTAAAAAGGCGGATATTGACGTATGGTCAAAAAACGTCCCAAGACGTCAGTTATATGACTTTTTGGGATGAGACTGTGTTAGAAAATGCGTATCTATACCACGAATGTCATTTCTCGTGGCATTTATACGCCAAAAATGTTTTATGCTACGCACTAAAAAACCCTGGGGTAGGTTTAGGGGGGAGGGGGGTGGCTAGTTCGTGCGTATTACACGCCAAAAAGTGTGTATCATATGCACGTGAAAAACGCACGCAAAAACTGTTTTTGGAATATAAATGGCACAAGAAATGACATTCGTGCTATAAATACGAACTTTCATGACATCGGGCTCTTCCATCCCAGACAGCAGGGCTGAGAAAAGGAAATCCACATGAGTCAAGCTAGAAGATCAGCAATCAAGTTAAAAATAATAAAATATTGAGTTGCTTCCCTATGCGTGGAGGAAGCTATTTTGTGTTTAGTTTGTAGAGGCAAGAATCAAAATCAAGATTGATGCCCTTATGTTTATGAATCATAAGATTAATGACTTTACGAAGATTGATAATATCAACTGAAGATTCCCTGTGATGATGCTTTACAGAATTATTACTATTGACATTAAACATTTTGGCTAAATATATCATATTATTTGAATATTGTGTATAATATTAATAGATTTATCACATGTGACTTATATCCCACATATGTAAGAAATCTGATTTATTCAATTAAAGATGAAAAAACTTCTTTAGTATTTTTTAAAACAAAACAGAACAACAACAAATGAGGGAACGTACAACTTTTACAATAGTCGGCTAAGTTACTGTAATCTTGTGGTTCAATGATTTGACTAACATTGTGGTGATGTGAAACGTTGTATTGAATACATCAACAAAAAACTGAAGTGAAGGCAATTACAGTTACAAAATAAAGATGAACTGCATGCAGATACAGTAGAATATGGTATAAATGTCGGCAGTGTTCAAAAATTCAAGCTGCTACTACTTTGCTATTAATACAACATTTTGCCACTGTAATTCCTCAGTTAAATTAAAAAAAAAACACACACATACGATTTAGTTTACAGTTAGCTAAACCTCAGCAAATTCACACAATGTCCAGCAATATTTCATTTCAGTTTAGTGTTTCAGTTGAATTCTAGATAGCCTTCAACATCGCTGCATATTTAGCCATTTTATATACAATTAGATATTTTTCAGAACTAATTTCCTTACCGGCAGGCTTAATAATAATATGATTACAATTTTGAGCGATTAAGGTGTTAAACATGCGGAAATATTAAGATGCAACTAGATGACATATAGTGCAACTTCTTATAGAGTGCACACTGGGATATTCACAATTTGCACAAATATGTTTCTCTTAAGATCTGAATATCCAACGCATTCTCATCCTAGGGCGTCATCTAACTGACCAACGCATTCTCATGTTTTGGCGTCATATAGAACGCTAAAACGGCGCTATTCTACGCACATGGCACCCGTTATCGTTAATATAACACGCGCTGTGATGGTAGGGTAGGGTAGTCTCATATTACGCTAAAGGATTTATGACGCCTTGGGTTCGCGTGAATATTAACGATAACGGGTGCCATGTGCGTACTGTAGTATAGCGCCGTTTTGTCATATAGTGTTCTATGTGACGCTAAAGGATGAGAACGGGCTGAACTGACGCTTTTGACCATGCGTCTAAATCCGACGCACATGGCAACCTTTGGCGTCAGTTACATGACGCGGGTAGGTTTAGACCACTAGGTGCCGCGTCTCATATTGACGCTAAAGTGCGTCAGATGTTGCCGCATGGTCAAAAGCGTCAGTTAGATGACGCCTTGGGCTGGAATATCTTGTCAAATTCAACTTCTACTCTTCGTACAATATCATACAAGATTGTGCAAGATTTTCAAGATTCCAGACTATTGCTGCCCATTTTTCATACAAACGTGTTAGAGAGTAAATATTGCCATCAACGTGCAAGTTACCAGACGTGGTTGCCAGGATCATGAATAAAGACGTGCAGATGTCATTCAGCGTGTCTAATAAGAGCAATAGCCTTAATTAGTTGGATGAACTACTGGCGGGATGTGACCCTATTCAAAGATGATCTCTGAGGCCTGGCGTAGGCAGTTAGCCGTGTCATCCGGCATACTGCTGTGTGTGATGTTGTTTCCATCCAAGCGCAGGGTCCTCAGTCTCGAGTAGTTGACCGGGGAGCTGAACTTGCAGATATTCGTCAGGTCAAACTCTAAAAAAGTAGAAGAAATGGAGTAAAAACCATGCAAAATGGGTTGCTTGATCAGATGGACACAGAACAAGACTTACTGCTTATCTCGTTGACTTGCAGGTACAGGTGCTCGAGCGATTCGTTGATCTCTGGAATGGTCTTCAGCTTGTTGAAAGACAGGTCGAGCTCAAGGAGAGAGGACACGTTGAACACACCTGCAGGGATTCCAGAGTCCACCAGCTTGTTGTGGGAGACGCGCAGATACTGCAGGAGCGGCAGCTTGGCCAGGTAGCCACCAGGGACGCTGTCGATGTCGTTATTGTCGGCGTAGAGCATCAAAAGCGAGGCTGGAACTCCCGAGGGAAGTTTCTTGAGCATGTTCTCGCTCACGTCCAGCAAAAGGAGTGACTTGAGGCCTTTGAAGGCACCGGTGAGGCTCTCGGTAGTCAGCTTGTTCTTGGACAGGTGAAGGGTGGTCAGGTGTTCCATCCCGGACAAGGTGGTAGCAGGGAACGAGTTTAGCTGGTTGGCAACCAGCTTCAACTCATCCAGAGACTTCGTACGAAGACCAGGGGGTTTGGTCAGCTTGTTATGACTGAAGAGGAGCTTCTCCAAGCTGCCCAGTTTATCAATGGTACCAGCCTGGATCTTTTCGCTGGTGATGATGTTGTTGTCGAGGACAAGCCAGCGAAGGTCGGTGACGTTATCGAACACGCCAGCCTTGATCTCCTCAATGAAGTTGTTCTGTAGGTAGAGGTATTTGATTCCTGTTGGCACAATGGGAATGAACTTCAAGCTGCGGTCGTTGCAGTACATTGCTGTGGGGAAGCTGGGGGGGCATTCGCACTCCTGGGCACAATTGGCAGTTGATGCTCCCTCCAATGGTGCGTATGGTATGTAGTATTCGTCTTCGTAATCATACTGACCCAAACTCTGACATATCAGTCCAGCCAATAAGAACGAGCCGAGAGCAAACATGGCAGCACTACTTCGATGAATCGAACCTGAAGGAGAAGAGAAGAGGTTTCTTTGGTTATATAATATTACGCGGAAAAAAATGTGTAAGAACAACAGAACTTTCTACTGTGAACCTCAGACATAAATTAAAACCAGAGACATTCTTCTCATGGAAATTGATGACTTCATCCTCAAGAGTGCAAAAAGGCCTCCCCACACAAATTAGACGCACATTTCTGATGTGCAGATCCAAGTTCATCTCAAGTTACATTAACGTTACCCCCTCCTCCGTCTTTGTGTGCAATGCTGAATTCAAATTGATTGGTAAATGAACAATGCAAGAGTCCTTTTCTAATATTGGCTGACAAAATAACATTCCATGATGGTTAAAAGAAGAATAAATTGCAGCAGGTGTCACACACACACTGAATTTTGCAACACAGTATTTGTGTCATGACAATTCCTGGCAGGAAAATGCCAAATTAAATCCAGTACTGCAAAACCTCTCTCTGTTTAAGGACAGCATAAACATTCTTGCATGCTTAATAATCTCTTCTACCAGCTCATGCAATTCAATTCAATTCAAACAAACTAAATATCATTTAATTAAAATGTACTTCGAACTGGAAGCATCTCAAACATTACCAAGCCGAGTATCCGCAATATGTTCATACTGTTTTAGTCCACCCCAGAAAATCTGCCAAGCAGATTTCTGATAATCCAGACGGATCAAAAGCGAGCATTCAGATGCTAGATATCCTTACCTTCCTGCTTCTCTCTCTTTGTACGACTTTAGGTAGAGTTGTGTGCGGCCCGATGACTCTGGAGAGAAAGAGTAAGGGAGGGAGAGTGCAGACAGCAAGAGAGCGAGAGAGAGAGAGACACTCAAGCCAGACCTTAGTCGCCCAAGATTGATAGAAAACAGAAGTCGGGCGGTTCTAGTGTGTCAGCAGTTGTTCACCGTGGCACATATGGATTCTAACAAGGTTCAGGTGTAAGCAAAGCAGCTTGGGACATGTAGTCCTGGCTTCATGGGACAAAGAAGGGAGCAACGACTCACTGAGGAGGGTTTGCAAAATATATATACCTGTATAGCTGCCCCCCCCACACACACACACACTTTTCCAACCCATCCTTTCCAAACAATCCCCAAAAAACAATTCAACTATTGTGTAAGTCGCTAACAAGCCAACAAACACCTCGACCACTGGTTCTGTCATAGCTAATGCTGAGGATTGCTCATAAAAAAATATAAAACAAAGGTTAACAAAACTATTTGGAAAATCGCCTAGAAAAAAAAGTTGGCTTGTTGAAATGACAGCTGCCTGCTATTAGACGACTAGGCTGTAAATAAGACTTGGAAAAAATGACCAAGTAAGAAGGTAGTGGGCCAAACCAGTCTTACATAACTGTGTTGTCTATCTTCAGCATCTGAACGGAGAGTGTGTCCAATTCTTAACAGCTGGTAGACTATATATCATCAAACAGTGTGCCATCTTTTAATCTTAAACCTCGTAAAAGCCAGACGGCTTCTGTCTGGCTGTGGTCATAGAGCTCTGTGATGGGCAAGCTCGCACACAGCGGTGGACTGGAACTCATACAGAGCTGATTGCAGGTCAGTTTGGCTTTAATAGCACACTTTGGCTTTTAGGAATGCAGTAAATCCAGAAAAGCAGATGAGAGGTCGGTTCTGTAAACCTTGTGTTTATCAGAGGAGATGGGATTATGTACTATGACTGCAAAGTCAAGATTATCAAGATAAAATCAGCACACCAAATGTCAAATAAAATATAAAATGAAAGAATTTGAATTCTACATATTATAATTATTAAATATTAACCTGATAAATCATACAGGACAAAAAGGTCTACTTGGTCTCCAATTTACTACCAAAAAAAAAACAAACAAAAAAAACAATTACAATTTAAAAAAAGTCATGAGTAACAATGAAAAAATAAAATATAGATAAATAGTCAAATAAATTAAAATGTTAAAAGAATAATTCACAATTGCACAATCACAACTCACAAATAAGTTTCTAAACGTAATGAGTGAACCCGAGTGTGTTAAATAAAATTGAAATAAAATAATGGAAAATAAAATAAGTCATGTTGGGTCCATTGCCATTATTTAAAATAGATCAAAACAAATTATACAATTCTTATAAACACTTATAATAATGGTCATAATTTTACTAAAAAAAAAAAAAAAATTATGGGAGAATAGAAAACAAGATTGAGAGTCAAATATCCAAACTCTATTCATGCTTTAACACAATGGCATGTTGCGGCATGTCCGGTAACTGATCAGATGCAGTTGAATGGTCTTGAATTGCTCTGCAGCAGTGTGCCCATGCCTGTCAACCACACTATGACCCTATCACCCGTTCCCAATCTGTCACGTCCCCTGCGGTCATCGCTCCACTCATCTGTCAGGCCTCAGGGCAAGAGCTCATGTTTGGACATTGTGTATGAAGTTATGCAGCAGGGGCAGGTCAAGGCAAACCTGTGCAGCTCTACCTGATGCAGGTTTGCAAGACTTGCAATTGCTCTCAAACCATGTAAAAATGCTACATCTGCAGGGCGACTGAACAAATCTGCTGCAGAAGCACAGAGGCACTTCTTTTTCTAACAATCTTACATATTGCTTTCTGGAATGCCATTTCAAACACACCCCTGTAGTCAGCTCATTTATTAAATGCCCATAACTGGTGGTGATTATCTTTGTTTAAAATACACAAGTGTTGTGATACTAAAATACTAAACACTTGTGCATTTTTAACAAAGATAATCACCACCAGTTAACTGAGCATTTAATAAATCACCTTTAATAAAAATTAAAATTGTAATAATTATTTTTTTGTTTTTAGTTTTATATTTTTATTTTAAAGTTGTGGTCATTTTGTTACATGTTTTTGTTTTTATTAGTAAAAACATGTCTACATAGTTTTTAGTATTTTTTATTTTAGTTATTTATGTACATCGAGTTAAACTTTTCAAGTTAAAATTTTATAATTTAAATAATTTTTGCATTTTTTATTTTTATTTTATTTCAGTTAGAATTGATCTTACATTTTTTTTTAAGTTTTAGTTAACTATAATAACCCTAAAATGCACTGTTAAACAACTACGGATGTAGTTTTATAGTAAAATAGTGTTTTGTAAAGTAAAAGAAATATGAATAGTGCCACATAATTTGTAGGGAGAAGGTCATTCCCAGAACCATCATATTTGTTTGGATTTTATTTTCATTTTAAAAGTTACTTTTTTTCCCTATTTTTTGTTAATGTATCATATGTGTATTTTTTTATAACCTGATACATTGTTTATGACATTATTTAACTGTCAAATCTACAGTTACCGACCTATGACATTGTCACAATATATATATATATATATATATATATTATTAATATTATTATTTATTTATTTTTTTGGAGAAATATTCTGACAAATACAGCTGTCAATTTCATGGTACAAATATATTTCTTTGACCACAAAGCCAGTGTCTACGCCTGCCTGTTTCCAGCAATGACGTTAAGTATTTTGTATAATACAGTAAGTATTCTGTTGTCCAGCTGTGTTCTCTCTGTCTTTCCTGTCTGGACACATGGAAAATGAGAACCTCAGCATCCTAAAGATCACTGGAAAGATTCTCAACTCCAGTTCCATGAACAGCTCCAGCATTGACCAACTTTGAAGTGTTTACTGAGAGATTTGTCTCTTGTTGAGTATCATTTCCTCTTTTCATCTCACCTACATGAGTTTATAGTGACGTTAATGGATATATTCCCTCTGTCTACGCACAGGAAAGTCTACAACCTCAGCTTGGTTTCTGACAGCGCCAGACACTTCCAGTCAAGTTTCCTAATTTCCAGCTATTTTCCTGGCCTGGACACTTTGGAGACAAGACAAAACTGGTTGTTTGCAGACTGACTAAATTAAACCACATATTATAACCTAATGAATGTTGATTCTTCAGGTCTTGTCTACAGCTTTACAGCGTTTCCTCTCCTTGGTTTACGGCGTTATTTCCACCTGATCTGACATTTACAATTGACTTTTACGCTATCAGGTTGCTTCAGTCATACTAACCAACAGTTTTTTTGCCAGCTGTTTATTGAGCAGAGTCATGATACTCATTTAATCATGTCTGAGGAGTACCACATATGGTTCCCATTTCAATGCATGTCTTTGTTTAGCCACACACAATTCACATGGTTTCAAAAATGCAGAGAGAGCTGACTAAAGAAAACAAAAGAAAACACTGTAAAACTTTGCACATGGATTATGTTTACAGTGAAACAGTGAGTTCATAAACCTTGGTCAAAAGACTGTGATAGTCAGTCAGCTTCATTTTTACCAGTTTTATTGACTGTTAGGCCCTTACTCACTATATCTTTGAGATTATGCTAAATTAAGAAATCATAACATTACTTTTAAACGTATGCATCGTATTAACTAATTGTGAAATGAAATACTTTTTTTATGGACAGTGTTACGTTACTTTTGCATTACTTATTCTTAGCTGGGCTGGGCTTGATAACCAAAAAACAAAAAAACAAAAAAAAAAGTTATATTTTTGACAAATCCATGAAGGCCATGTCACATCAAAAGTGAAATGAATATCCCTCAGGCTGAAGGAAATGAAAATTCAAGGCTGTTCGGTAATGGGCACATCTCAAAACAAACTATATGTGCTTCCATTCTGGATCGCAGAAGAACAAGAAAGTCATAAATAACATAAATGTGATGTTTATCTAAAGTAATTTTGCTTATTAGTAAAGGCATTGGTTAATACAATGAGATTAAATACATATTTGTTTAATTTAACATTTAATTAATGCAAGTTGGCGTGATACTCTGAGTTTGCATTTTACTGTTTTTATTCAATTTAAGGAATTTTAAATCTGTTTTTGTCCAAATGAGTAAATGTATGCTCATGTAAGTCTTTTGACGTTGAACTACAGACACCCATCACGTTCACATAGTGCACACAACAGAGAGCTGTCAGTAAATGGTAAAACCTGTGTTACTTACTGATGGTGAGATGGATCCATTTCCATGAATAAGTTTAACTTATCAATTATTAAAAACTATCTATTTCAAACACATCAATTCCGAGGTCTGATTTTCATGAGTCAGGAATCAAAAATATATTATAATGTTTTAGTAAAAATATATGTAAAATCTTTTGACCATAGTCAACATCCGCCTTTTTAGGGTACCCTTAAACGTCGGTTAAATTGACGATCCTGGGCCGTCATACAATTGACGCTTTACCTTTAATGTCGGTTAGGTGACGGGGTAGGTTTAGGTCTGGGGTAGGGTTGGGATCCGATAACGTCATCTAACCGACGTTTACGGGTACCCTAAAAAGGCGGATGTTGACGTATGGTCAAAAGACGTCCCAAGACGTCAGTTATATTACTTCAAGTTCTTGGGATGAGACTGTGTTACACTGCTGATTAGCTACTAATGCGCATTTTATTTTAGTTAGAAAAAAAAAATTCTGTGATAATTCAGTGGAATGTATGTAAAGGATATCTTTTTTAAAACAAGATTTCTATCAGTTTTATTGCATTTTACTTTTTTTTTTTTTAATCTCGTTTGAATCTACTTGGCTGTTTGCTTTGAAATACATTTAAAAAGTAATCCAATTTAATATTTTCAAATGTTGAATAAACAGATAACATAATAAAATATGTATTAGCCTACTATCACATTATTAAGTTGACTTTACTCAAAATATCAGTTAGTTCACTAAACTTGAAAAAAATAGTTGGAAAATGTTGTCTTAATTTTATTGAGTTAGATCCAAGTAACAGTTTTAACAGTGCAGTGTGAAGTAGAGCTAAGTTATAAAACTTAAATAACGTATTTTGTAAGTGTATTTGTTTGTTATAGCCTACATACAGTATATTACAGGCCAATAGGGTTAGGTTTCGTAATTATAACATGTATTATTTTTCATTTTTAATTGTTAAAGTTATACAATTTAACTCTATAGCACACTGGGTAGGTGTTTGTCGCAAATTACTAAAATGTCTTAGCTGGTGCTGTTTTAGATCAATATCCTAACCTTGTAAAATCCCTCCAATCCCCTATCTCCTCGTAATTAGCAAGAGGCTTTTTAGGCAGACGCAGTTTAGACACAAATAGTCAAGTGTTGGGTGAACAAATGCACCTCAGACACCTCAGGACTGCCACAAACAGACTCAGCGCTGAGCCTCACATTGGCAAACACACTCACACACACACATGGTAGCGCATGTGCCACTGGGCGGGCGGCTGCAAGGGTAAGTTCAGACTTCAGTAGGTATATCCACTTAATATAATACCAGCAAGCCATTAAGATGTCACAGCTCACACACTTGCATGATGTGGAGGCATGTGAAACAGAGCTCAAAGCTCTCACAGTACTACGGAATAAGCGTTTCCCATTCTGAGAGTGACGTCTCTTCTGTCATCATGTGATGCGATTCATTACCAACCCTATAACTTATGACATCATTTTTTAGTGCTGTCAGTTTGATGAACATAACTAGTCCAAGCCCGATTAAGCTCATGCTTCTTCTTTTTTTTAAATGAAACAATTTCAGCTTTATATTTCACAATGTGACTTTTTATTTTTTATAACGTATTATAATAGGCTATTTTGAATTATATTTTCAGTTTTCATTTTAGTTTTACTATAAGTATGCAAAATCAGACACTTTTAAATTGATTTAAAATGTAGGCCTACCTAATTTTCTTTCTAAATACACATTCAAGGTGTAATTGTTAATAATTCATCACTTCACAGACTTGTTGTGAACTTGTTAGCCTACATCATTGAAGCAAATCTCCCCTTTGGACGATGCTGCTAATCTAAATGTTTCACGATAAAATGTGATTTTGGGGCATTTTTATTACTTATCTTTTATGTTATAAATAAAACAGAAAACACCAATACTGATGCTGATATTCCCCTGTGCTCTTAGGTTTAAAACTCTTCTTCACTATAGTCAGATGATATTAGCTCTTTCCCTTTAAACTGCCACAGTTAAATAAATACATCACACATACACACAAACAATCCCTCACTGTGTCCTCTCCATTTCTCTCTCACGCACACATTGCACTTTAACACTGAGTTGTAGAGGAGGGGCTTAATTATTAAAGCTCATTTGAGTTCAAATAGTGCAGCACAAAATAGTCCACAAGGCGGCACCAGAGAGAAACAAGAGAGAATCGGGTGGCTTTGTTATGAAATTGGTGAACGAAACAGACACCTGTGTTTTAGGTTTTAATAATGTACACCTCTGCTGTATGCTATATATATATATCAACGTATAGCTTTGAAAACTATCATATAACAGTATTAAAGTAGGCTGAATGTTTTTATTTTTTTGCTGTTGTTAGTTATTGTTCAGTTTCTAGCCATTATCAAAATGCACCTAAGCCAAATATGATCTTCACTTATAATAATTTCAACATTTCCAATTCATCTTGTGAAGTGCCAGATTCGTACGCTTAAATTAGCTAGAGACTGTCGTTATCCAATCAGGAAATGGCCTAATATCTTTTTCATCTTCACAAAGACAACTATTAACTAACATCCTTCCAGTTAATCCCTGTGTTTAGAGAGACTCGTGACTATTTTTTTATTCTCATAAAGTCTGTTTATGGTTAACCCTGCCGTGGTGTATTTGAGAGGACACACAATTAGAACTGATATTGTAAAAAGCTGCTATTCTATGCCAGAGAAAACAAAATAATATTTCAGTTCAAAATACACTCTAAAAAATGCTGGTTTGTTTCAACTATGTATCTAAAAATGGGTTAAAAATGTATTTTAAAAAATACAGTTGAAAGTGAAAGTTGAAGTTGGGTCAAAATTTGAAATTATTTTTTTAACCCAACATTTGGGTTTGTCCATATTTGACCCAAATTTGGGTCGAAACAACCCAGCATTTTTTAGAGTGTAGAACGTTGAAACGAATTAAAGGAAATTAAACCACACAATTAAAAGGATTTAAAATGAACCCATAATTTCATAGGAAAAAAAATGTTCCCCTGTATAAAACTTAATTTCTTTTGTATTTTAAGTCTTCGGACAATGAAACAGCCACATGAAAGGCTCTGGAAACCTTTGTTCCTTGGATTGACTTTGGAATGGATCCCTAAAAGTGCTATAATATTGAAATAGAGAGAGAATTTTGTGCTTCGTGTTTGAACTTGAGCAAAGGCTGTATAATTCATATGAATGACACAAACACATCAATTTAAACAGTTTTGGTAGAGAAAGAAACCAGAACTAGCACCCAAACGTGACATTTTTACCGTAGCTTTTCAAGGTCTTCTGTGACTGTAGCATCCATCCAAGAAGGTTTGCCTTGTGTTATTTTGAGGTATCATTCAAATTCATTTACCTGAAAGTGAAAACCAACCATGTGCTTGATTAAACCACCCAGTGAAAGTTCCCAGAAAGCATGGTGAGAGATTTGACTGTTTATTTGGTTCAAAAGACACCTGTGTCGGAGCCCTCATTGGACAGAGAGAGAGAAAGAGAGAGAGAAAGGGATTACCTTTATTTGCCGATATATTAAAGTCCAAACTACTGTAAGTGCTTGTGCTTCAAAGCATTGATAGGATTCTTTTATACAGCATTTATATACAGCGTCTATACAAGAGACATTCATGACTCTCATGAAAGCAGGAGGTGTCCACGTCCGCCGTCTCCCTCCCGATCCTTCCAGACTGAAACACAGACGATCAACAAACACACACACACAAAAAAAGAAAGAAACACACACACTCGCACAAAACACCACAGTCTTTGAGAAGCTGAGTAGAAAAAGCATGCGTATACGTCGGGGAATCGTTTTCGTGGAAATGACAATAGTGTATTCTACGTCTCGAAGCGCTACGTTGAACTGGACAGAGAAGACGGGATCCAAGGAAACTAATGAGCGCAAATGTCACCGAAACATTGAGACGAAGAGAAACTCGTACAGCCCAGCTCCCTGTTTTCTCCCATTTCAATTGATTACGAGGGAACCAACGATCTGAAGTAGCGCTACACGGAAAGTAATAACTGAGTACATTCTAGCATACAAGCTTTTGTTAATTGTTAACCCCTTGCTGCCCGCTCCGCAGGCCAGCGGAAAACATAGAAGATCCGAGACGGACCTTCGAAAAACATCATTTCGTCTGGGCGATTTGCGCTATTGGATATTCTAAGTGGTCATGGCTTTACTTTATTTCGAAACTTTGTACAATTTCGCTTCTCCTTTGCATAAACTGCACTTATAGCAACACATTGTGTATGTTCAGTACAATACTGATATGCATTTGGCTATTTGAAAGTATCATGTGATATCTGTCCAGTAAAGTGCATGTTGAAAATGGAATTGTAGTTTATTTCGAGTTAACTGAGATATGACATTCAGACTAAGTTATGTGCTTGAAAGGATTAGGCCAGACAGGAAGGGGCGGGATGAAAACAGTGACTGAGCCGTCTGATTGGACGCTCTATTTCTTCCTGTAGTTGCCCAGTTGAATGGCCGAGCGGTCGAAAACACAGCGGAAGGTGATTGGCTGGACCTCCCAATAGGGCACTGGATTGCTGAACAGGCTAATGCCCGAGTACATGGCCTTCTTTGTATTATAGCCGGGTGGGCAGAAGTCCTCGGTTCCCACAGTCGCAATCTTGTTGGCGTGAAGGTAGATCACCTGGAATTCAGGATGAGAGCATGACAATGTGCGACTTAAAGGGTCATTCCACCTCTGGAAAGATGAATGTGTATTTAAAATGGGTCATTTATGTAGAAGAAATGTGAAATTATTTTGGAATTTGGAGCTTTCTAGACAACAACACCCACAATGCACTTGCTTAGCTGCCCTATAGACCATTTCACAAGATGTAAACAACACTGGTCCAGAAGCACTTCCTGTTTCAGTTTTTTAACACTACATAAAAGCTGGGATAAATTACAACCAACAGAACATTTAAAACTGAATCAAAAAGTTAAACAAACATCTTTAAGATGTTTTCTTTACATGTGAAATAAAGAAAACAGTTACAAACTGAAACAGGAAGTGCTTCTGGATCAGTGTTGTTTACATCTTGTGAAATGGTCTATGGGAGGCCATGCCTACCGGTAACACACCGCAGTTGTTAAACAACAAGTCTAGGCTACTAGTGAGTCTGAAAATGTGTATCGAAATTGCCCAAAATGTCCGGGATTTGGCTATTGCGTTCTACAGTCGCCATTTAGCATGTTTACTGTGGCGAACGGGACGAGTGAGAGCCGTGTGGAGAACGGTGCGAGGCCAGTGGCGTGATTACCAATGACCTGTGAGACATAAGTTACCGGTCTCGCATCTCTCACGGAGGAGCGGGAATTTTCTTAGCAATGTTAAAACGCACATCAACCGAACACTTTTTAGCGTTCATGTAAACACTACATTTAGTTATTTAGTTATATTGAAACAAAAAATGTGTGCATGTAAACAATGAATGGCGACTGCAGAAAGCAAAAGCTGAATCCCGGACATCGACGGCCGGACATGTCCGGGAAAAAGAGGACGGTGACCCCTAAAGTTAATAACGTTACTCGGCTTTCTCCAATTAGCTTCCAAAAAAGATGGCTGACAGTCCCAATCCTCCATAATGCATCCGTCTGCGTATTCAGTACCTTTGTCCATATTTTCAAAAAGTTTCTGCCGGTGAAATGAAACGCGCATTAGGTCCAACCCCCTATGGGCGGGTTTGAAAGGGTGGGAATTAGCGCTTGTTGTCTTTACAGAAATACCCCCTCTTACACTTGACGTAAAATGACGATTTTTGCGTCTTTGTAGGAGGGAGTGAAAAAGGTAAATAGCAGGGGAAAATGAGAGAGTGTTGCACGAACATTCAATAGTTTAACTGGGTTTCTAACAATGGAAAGCTTAATACAAATGGATGGAGTGTCCCTTTAAAGTCACCATGATACATATGATAGCAAACCACAACCATCCAATCAATTCCCTATAGACAAAATTAAGCCCTGCCCTAATTTTTTTGTTGTGTTTTAAAAGCCGTTTCACTCAGGTATACAATCTTACGAGGGAAGACTATTGCAACTTCTGTTTCATGCTGATTTTAAAGATTTGTGGAAATGGTGTTCACTTGTGTGGGATCTCTCACCTGAATGTATTTGTGTTCTGGCAGGCCGGACGGGATCGTAGTGAGCACGTTATTGTCCAGGTGAAGCTCCCTCAGGTGAGGCACATTGGCCAGAGAGCCGTTCTCCACCACACTGATCTCATTATGGCTTAGACCAAGCCTGAAAACACACAGTGATATTATTATTAATGAAAATGAAAGCTAAAGCACATTTTTATTATTTGAAATAAAAAGAACAAACATAAGTGGAAAAAAGTCAAAAAATAAATAAATAAATAAATAAAAATAAAAAAAGAAGTAGTTTTTGATTTTTGATACATGGTTATAGCTACATTATTATTAAAAAAATGTTTTATTTTATGTTTTTTTAAAAGAAGTATCTTAGGAAGAAGTGCAACTGAAAATGCAGTGATATTGTGAAATATTATTATTATTTCTATTTGAATATATTTTAAAATGTAATTTATTCCTGTGATGGCAAAGCTGAATTTTTAGCATCATTACCCCAGTCTTCAGTGTCACATGATCCTTCAGAAATCATTCTAATATGATGATTTGATGCTCATGAAACATTTCCCATTATCATCATCAATGTCGAAAACATTGAAAACGTTGTGCAACTTAATATTTCTGCGGAAATCATGACACATTTTTAATGTATCATGGGGTGGTGATTGCACAGTGCATAAGACACATGCCTTTGGTGTGAGAGACCCAGGTCTCAAATCCACTGTGAGACACCAATGTGTCCCTGAGCAAGACAATTAACCCCTAGTTGCTCCAGAGGCGTGCGACCCCTGACATATATAGCAGTTGTAAGTGGCTTTGGATAAAAGTGTAAGCTAAATGAATAAATATAAAAAAAAAAAGCATCATTTTAACATTATAAAAGTCCTTAATTTCACTTTTGATATATGTATCGCATCCTTCCTGAATAAGTATTAATATCTTTCATACTAGAAAAAACAAAGAAACTAACCCACAGATACATTCCCAGTGGTGTTTTGCTAAATAAAGAAACAATTCTACATATATTATTGATTTCCATCATCAAATATCATCAGAATTATGAGACCCACTGCTAAACAATCTTCCAGTCTTCTTATACGAGTCAAAACTCTATAACAACTCGGCTGTGATTCAGTCTCGGCATGAACAGTGGAAAATCTGTGTAATGAATGTTCTTATTTCTCTGTGTGATCCAAAGCAAACTGATCCATGCAATGATGTCATGCTCTTTCAGTCTCACAAGGTGTGTGAGCCAACCATCACCTCCAACAAAGCTGTTATCTTACAAATTCTAAACACATCTAATGATATTTGAATTATGATTTCCTCTGTATCACACGCTTTTCCTCCTGAGTTAGATTGTGAGTCAGACATTTTTAGCTGTTTCTGTCCAGGCTCTTTAAGTTAAATTGGTTGTTTGCACAAAAACGAGAGAAATGTAATAAAGGAGAAAGATGTATTTACTTGGACAGGTTCTTCAGGCCCTTCAGACTGTCTGCGGTCACTTTAGTGATCTTGTTTCCATCCAAGTGAAGTTCAAAAAGAGAGCTGGGCAGACCTGGACATTTTTGACACAAATGAATGTGATTGATTCATTGAAGTGAAAGGGATATCCATCATCATTCACAATCAGGATGATTCTGTACCTTTGGGAATGGCAGTGATGTTGGTGTCAGCAATTCGTATGTAAGAGACCCTCTTCAGATCAGCAAAAGCACCATTATCAACTCCAGAGCTACTCAGAGGGTTAGAGCCCAGCTCTGCAATGGGACAGAGTCAAAATGTGCATTAGTTCACAGTTAGATATACATAGAAATGCGATATTTTTACTCTGCTGATTTGATAGTGCAGGATAATAAATAAAATAATAATATAAGACTAAGAACGAGCCTGCATGCATAATATTAATAAAACTGATGATTGATGTTTTAATTTATATAACAAAGAGGCCACTCCACTGATGGTTTTACCCAGACCTACCCATGACGATGACATTGGCCATGCCGGAGAAGGAGGTCTTCTTTATCTTGTTAATCTGGTTCTCGTGAATGCGCAGCTCCTGGAGGCTTTTCGGTATGTTTGCAGGAACTTCCTTCAGAAGGTTCTTGGACAGGTAGAGTCTCTCCAGGTTGATCAGAGAAGAAAAGGCCTTTGCATGAATAATGGTGATCTTATTGTTGACCATGATGAGTGTCTGAAGGCGGGAGAAGAAAAGGAACTTGATGGTTATTTCAATCTTAAGCTGTTTTAGTGTTTTGGCGCTTTTCCACATCACAGTACCAGCTCGACTCGACTCGACTCGGCTCGGCTCGGCTTTGTTTGGTTTTACACTGTGTAAAAGTTGTACCTGTTCCTGCTTTTGGGTACTTTTTTTTGTACCACCTCCTGCAAGGTTCTGAGCGAACTGAGCCAAAGTCCTTTTCGGTAAGTCCTGCCACTCGGCCGCCATCTTGGCAACGCCTCCGGGCAGCTACTGTATTTCAGACTAACAAGACCAGGCTCCTATCTAAATGAATGGGCAGATCACTGGTCACTAGGACATAAAAACTGTAATAAAATATGATAAAAAAAAAATCGCTGAAAAAGTTTGATGACTTTGCGCCCAAATAAGGTTTAAAACGCATTTTCCCCACACGTTATACTTTTACTGCGCATGCGTAAGGGTTCTCTCGCTCTCTGTCGAGAGATTCTGGGAGATTTGAACTAATCTGCGGTCATGAGGGAGCCGCTATCAATCTGCGGGAGACTCCCGGAACTTGCGGGAAACTTGCGATGTCTGATATTTACACAACTAACACATATCAAATCTGCCGCCTTTTCAAACCAAGCGTGCCGCACAAGCCCTCAAAAGTAAAGCCAAAATGTCTCGATCGCCCCCCTGTGGCCGGATCTAGTATAGCTCATAAGCCCCGCCTCCCCATGTTATTCAATGGGACGCGAGACCAACTAAACAATTAAATTACACTCCACATATCCTTTTTTCCAAAGATAGTTTCTGTCATTTACTGTAGTTTCTATCACGTTGATGTAATTCAAGTGTTCGTTTTTAAAATAAGTTTGTTTTTAGTTAGTTATGTGATGATAAAATAACGGTGCTCTGACATCATGATTGACAGCTGTGATTGACAGGTTCTCTGTGCGAGGTAGTCACTGAAGCACCAGCGGACTTTTTTCATAATGTTGATTATGTGGTTAGTAGTTGTATTTACCTTATTTTAAGGAGGTTCTGCAATCAGCAGACATCATTGGAGAAGAACGAAGCAGACAGAGCCCAGACAGCAAACTGACATTGAATCAACGTGGAAACGACGTCTCTCATGACATCGAAACAACGTTGATTTTGCTCATCGAATTAACGTTGAGCCTACGTCAGACGCGGCATTCTTCAAAGGTAAATGAAAATCGAAAATTGGTTTGCTTTCATAACGTTGAAACAACGTTGATTTCAAGTTGATTTTCCGTTAGTTTTGAAAGAATGACGCGTCTGACGTTGGTTCAACGTTAATTCGATGAGCAAAACAATGTCAGATCAACGTTGTTTCGATGTCATGTTTCCACGTTGATTCAATGTCATTTTGCTATCTGGGAGGACACTTAATGAAAGTGCGGGGCGTGTGCTTGCGCTTGATTCAGCGAGAATGAGGGCGAGGCCTTGATTTCGCGGCTTTACTTCCAGCTCACGACTGCGCAAGACTGGTCCCGAAACACGCAAGTTCCAAGATGTCAGCGTCATATCGAGACACTGGCGGCTTCAGTTCTCTCTGATGGAAAAGAGCGAAGGGGCGTCGTCCATCTTTTTTTACAGTCTATGTTTCAAACAGTAACAAATTCTTCGCTGTCGCAAACCTCAACTGCACATGTGTCGGTGGAACCAGACAATAGGCATAAATGTGTCCCGGCTTGACTGTTAAAAGCAGACGATTGGCTTTCCAGTGGGACGGGGCGGGGCATGTGCATACAACCGCCGTCTTTGGCATTACGGGTTTTCCCTATATAGTTGTATTAAGGATTGAGGAAGTGGCATGTCTCTAAATAAATAGTCTCTGGCTGAGACGAGCTAAGGTGATACTAAAATGTCACGTGAAAACAATGCGGACTGCTGATTGGTCAGAGAGAATCGTCACCATTCACTGCGCCATCATTTTTAAATAGTTTGGCCAGAGATAGTTACTAACTACTATTATGGCAACTCGGAAGAATACGGCGTGGTCAAACGAGGAGGTGCGGACTTTCCTTTGTTTGGTGGCCGAAGAGAGGATCCTGCGAGAGATTGATAGGGCAACGAGGAACGAAAGGCGTCGCTATGACGACCGGGTACTGTCTGCAATGGAAAACGGAACGAAAAGCGAGCCGAGCCGAGTCGAGCTGGTACTGGTGTTTTGTGTTTAAGTCTGTAATGTGCTTTTCACCCCAGATTTTCAGTCATAAAAAGGTCACTAGCTGCTTGCTATAATCTATAGTACATTCCAGCACATAAAAAAATCTTCATTTATTTTCACTGTGATAATTAAATAGCGAAGGCTCACATAGCATTTTGGCAACATTTTCTCACTCTCTGTTCTGTTTGCATTCATCTCTCATTGGCGCCTAACAGATCCAGGCGCCATGTGAATGTTGAGCTTGGAAAGCGAGAAATAGCAAAGGGCCCTCGATGGGAGGCTGTATATTTATTGAAGTTCAGGAGGCTGAACAATGGATCCGCTCCAAAAGTGAATCATTACACTCGTTCACCTGGGAATGACACATTTCTCACACCGAGAGCTGGTTTCTAGAGAGGATGGATTGGAAACACAGAGGATTTCACATTCCGGATCATACGTTTCCCCCAAGCGCTATTTTGTAAAGTGTCTCTCCAGAGAATTTTTGCAGTGTTTTCGAAAAATAGGAGCAGATATTTGCCTTCAAAGATCACTGTGGTTGCAACGCATAGTTTTAGCACCCAGTTCCACATTTTGGCAGACAAACAGCGTTCAAGTGTTTTCTCTGGAGTGTTTTTCAGCGCTGCTCAAGCATTTGTTTTTTGCTTTTAGTGTAGAATTTCTTTTATGTGAAACGAGCCTCACAAATGGCTTTGATTTGAAAATTTGGACATGTGTCCTTTGTGTTAAATAGCTGGTTTCGAGGTCGTGACAAAAATATCACGCTGTCATTTTTAAGTATCAGAACGAGAGTAGCCAATTGGTCAAAATGAAATAGGATTTGTCCTGTGAGGACTTTAAGGGGGGTTAAGAAATGTCATTGCTTATACGATCCAATTTAGGGAATTAAAGAAAATGTGGTTTAAAAAGAGAACAAGGGAAAGAGTGAGTAATTGAATATCTCACTTGGAGACTCTTCAGGCCTTTGAAGTCGTTTTCTCTGATCTCTGAGATCTTGTTGTTCTGCAAATCCAGGAGAGTGGTATCAAGGGGAATTTTTTCTGGAACGTTCTTCAGACCTGAGAAACACAAAACGCAAGTAGTAAGTAGTAAAAAATGACACTGACGAAATGGGATAAGAGCTAATCTGGGCTTTTATGACTAGAATCTACTTTGAAATCAAATCAGCTGTGGACATATGGATCCTGGTCCAATACCAACAAATCATTCAAGAGTAAATTCTGGTACTAAATTGAGCTGCTACATTCCTGAACTGGAGTGGTCTTGGTTTTGGATGAGCTCCAGCTCCAGCCATCATTGTATAGATGAAACTGTTAGAAACTTTTACGAGCTACCATTGTAAAGAAATGTCTGGACCAAGGCTAAACAAGGACAACAACTATAAATAATATTATGAATACTATAAATATATTATAGTATAGTATATTATAAGTATACTATACTATACAATACTATAAGTATATTATAGTATAGTATAGTACAACTATAAATATATATTTAAAATTAATAAACAAGTAAATCAATAAACTTCTAAAAAGTCTGAATGTGCAGTTGACTTTGAACCAATCAATTTTATGGGTTTTAGAGCTTAAAGAAACACAGTAAAAAAAAAAAAAAAATCAGTGAGTTATGATGATGGTTCACATACACGTTTTTGTGTTTCGAAACAGTTCTGAAAGTTCATTGAGTTGATCATAGACAGCTGTTATGCTAGATATCTCAACGCTTTTCTTGGAAGGATTATATATGCTGTATGATGCTGTCAACTGCGAAAGCTGACATAACAATTCCACAATTTGATTTTGCCAACATTGGACAACATGACGCAGCTTTCATTTAATGTGCTGCAGACCATGGAAACAACAAGTCACACTTTAATATTTATGAACGTCTTTGCATTATATTACAAAAATATATTTAAACAAAAGTGCATATATTTTAAATAAAAATAGCTCAAACACACTCTTTTTGAATTAAAACATTTAAAAAAAAAAAACGTTTTCTCATAAACTTTGCATCATTAACAAATTAAATTCATACATTTACAGTCCAAAAGCGTTTTAGTTTCAAACATAGGAAAATAAAGGTAAACACATATCCACATATATAAACATAAATATATCTGCTTTACCAACTCTAAAAGCTCTTTAGGCAGAGCCTCACACAAACATTGTTTGGTCTTGTTTTGTGGTGGGTTTCCTCATCAGTGCATGTGTATAAACAGTTTATGAATATGTCCCTGTTAATTATATAACCACAGGACAGAGATCACAGCTGGACATATCACTGGTGTCGAGATGTCTCATAAATGTTCCTTTCGTTCTCCTCTGTTTAGTCTCATTTTATAGTGGTCGCAATCAATGTAGGTCAAAGAGTGTTTCATGATGGACTATATTATCATTATTTAATCCCAAAAGCACTAAAAATAACATCATTAAATCTTTCAGGGGAAATCCCAATTTTAGTTTTAAAATTAAACCCAAATGTCAGTAAGATATTCAGAATGTGCAGCTCATTGGCAACCCTTAGGTCGTGTGTCCATCAAAGCGTTTTTCCACGCTCCTGGCGTATGTTTTCAATTGATTTCAATATGGAGCGCCGCGTTTTTTAAACGATATGAGCATAACGAGACGCTGAGCGTTTTTTTCACGCTGAAGCGCAGAGCGCCCGGCGTTTTTTACTGGTCGCTGGAAGTTGAAAAATGTTCAACTTTGGATAAAACGCAGCGCCTCATCACTGTCACTTTTTATCCAGCCATCCAATCACAGTGGAGGAGGGGCGGGACTAATACCACACCGACCAATTGTCACAACATTCAATTGCTGCGGATATTCTATATCATAGCAACGAAACGTCTCAACGGAAAAAACGCTGCGCTGCCAAAACGCTCTCAAGCGCCCAAAGCACGGCGTCTTCAGCAGAGCGTCTAGCGTTTTCAGCTGGATAAAAACGCTTTAGTGGACACACGGCCTTATGGAACAAAAAGATTTTTTTTAATTTAACCACTAAAATCAGAGAACAACACAAAACCATTGTTAACAGACCAACGGATGCTAGTCCTTATATTGGTGAGAAGAATAAAAACATGAGATGCTGTTTAATCCACAAGATGAGTCACACTTCCCTGTTTCTCTACACCATGAACACTCAAAAAAATAGCGTCTTTTGCACCAGAGGAACCTTTTCATAATTAGTTATTCATTGGCGAAAGTACACACTTTTTGGCGTGTTCACACCAGAGGAACTTGGAACAAATTTACAAGGAACGCCTTTCGGGAAAACTAAATCAGCTCCTACTTCAGAGTAGGGAGTAACAGCCCGTTCTCATCCCAAGACGTCCATCTAACTGACGCTTTTGACCATACTTCAACATCCGACGTTTTAGGGTACCTAATCCTAGCTATCTAATCCTAAACCTACCCTACACCTAAACCTACCCGCGTCATCTAACAACTGACGCTAAAGGTAAAGGGTCAGTTGGATGATGCCCTAGGATTGTCATCTAACTGACGTTAAAGGGTACCCTAAAACGTCGGATGTTGACGTATGGTCAAAAGCGCCAGTTAGATGACGTCTTGGGATGAGAATGTGTAGGGAGTATCCAAGCACAATAGGAACTACCAGTGACGTAAGTGTACGTTGATTGGACCGAACACATGCCATATGAAACAGCAGCCGCCATTTTTAAAAAGCTAATGTTGACGGCATTTATCGAAATTTTATTTAGCACTCATAGGCCGTGTGTCCACCAAAGCGTTTTTAGCCAGCTGAAAAGGCTAGACGCTCTGCTGAAGACGCCGTGCTTTGGGCGCTTGAGAGCGTTTTGGCAGCGCAGCGTTTTTTCCATTGAGACGTTTCGTTGCTAAGATACAGAATATCCGCAGCAGTTGAATGTTGTGACAGTTGGTCGGTGTGGTATTAGTCCCGCCCCTCTTCCACTGTGATTGGATGGCTGGGTAAAAAGTGACAGCGATAAGCGCTGCGTTTTATCCAAAGTTGAACATTTTTCAACTCCCAGCGACCAGTAAAAACGCCGGGCGCTCGACGCTTCAGCGTGAAAAAAAACGCTCAGCGCCTCGTTACACTCATGCCGTTTAAAAAACGCGGCGCTCCCATTGAAAACAATTGAAAACATATACGCCAGACGCGTGGAAAAACGCTTTGGTGGACACAGGAGATTTAGCCCTCCATTTTGCTTTTTCCATCACATTACTTATACATTTATTCCATTTCAATTATCATGAATCCCACGACACAACAAAAACACAGCTCTGATCACAGCGTCCTCCATTCTCCAGTTATTGACGCTGTTGAATGCTGCGTTTAAAAAACGCTGTTGTCTGTCGGTGTAAATTCAACCTGGAAATTGGCTCTAGGGGAATATTTAGTTATATGGGGAACTGGCCTGGCGGCTTCCTATAGAACTACCAGGTGCAAAAGCCCCAAATGAAAACTGTATACTTAACCCACTTTCTAATGAGAAATACATAATATCACCTGGTACCAAAAATTGGTTAGCAAGTAAAAGCACAAGCAGGCTCTTAATCAAACTTTCCTAGACAAACAATCTCAATTTTTGCCATTGGTTGTTCTTGGGTTCTGGCATTGTTTCCAGACGGTTTTCCCTGCAGCTGCAGAGCTGTATAAACTGGGTCACATATTTCACTGGGAAGAGGTGAAGTTAGATGGAGAACAGATCTGTCGGCACACCTTATCCCCTCCCTCTCTCTATTCTTTTCCAGGTCTGTTTCAAGCCAAAAGACCTGCGGAGCAGATGAGACTATTTGGTCTTCTTTTTTTATTTGTCCTTGTTCTCAACCCCATTTTCGTTCTCGTTCTTTCTCCGTCCATTTCAACTAGAGTCGAGTGTTAATGTTACGAAAGAATGGACTTGGCCCTTTCTGAGAATTGCTGTTCTCGTTTTGCCTGATCAACAGTATTTCTTTCCAAACAGACGTTCAGCCTATCAAACAGTCCTCTGAGTAATTTCCTGTAAGAAAAAGCTGTGCTAACAGAGACAACATGCTTCAGCAACTTGCGGGATAGAAGGGTAGAGAAATAAAAAGTCATCTTATGACAAAGACAATGAAACTATCGCAGAACATACAGTATCTAAATCCATTTTTTTGTTTCTATTGCTCTTTTCTATGTAAATCACAGTGACTCTGTGGACAGGGCAGCTTTACAGGAAGAGAAACGGAAATCGTTGGAAGTAACCTGATAAAAGAACAGCCTTTCTCAAGCATTACACACATCCCTGGGGATTCAATTAGGAAAATGAGGCAGCCGTCTGGAGGTTAATGCCTAGTCGTCTATGGAAGTGAGTGCAGTTAACAGCATATGAAAACATTTAAAGGGGTTTTGAAAAAGTGACCCATGCCTCAACAATGACTCAACAATGGGCAGATCAAACAAAAAAAGAGAGTTTCTGTTGACAGCTACTTGGACTTTGAGAGTTTATCCCATGACAAAACTGACATCAGGTGTAGGACAAGAACCAACATTCAAGGAAAACAGTGAAAGTTAATAAAACTATTAATTAGTGCTGTCAAATCGATAGATCACATCTAACATCAAAGTTTATAAATATGTGTGTGTGTACAAGGAAAGTTAGAAAAGTAGAGCTGTATTACATTTTCAACATGCAACTTACACTATTAAATGATTGCTTACTACCAAATGAATGTTGGACAAGATACACTAAAAACATATATATTTTTAACTTGTTTTCAAGTAAAAGATCTAAATATCATCAAATCAAGATAAACCAACGCACATCCCAAGGCGTCATCTAACTGACAATTTTGACCATGCTTCAAAATCTGACGTTTCGTGTTACTAAAGGTAGATGACGCGGGTAGTTTTAGGTCTGGGGTAGGGTAAAGGTTAGACACGATCCTAGCGCGTCATCTTATTGACGCTAAAGGGTGCCTAAAGCGTCAGATATTGAAGCATGGTCAAAATGTCTCAAAATGATGAGAATGGGCTGAGGCTAGGGGTGTGCGATATGACGATTTTTAATCGTGGACGATTAAAATGTCTCCACGATCTGCTTTTGAAGAAATATCGTAGTATCGTGTTACAGTGCATTCTATCAGTTCAGTTCTGGCGCGCCTCTGTCTCAACTTTACAACGCGACGTAGCCTACACATCACATGTAAATGAATAGGTACGAGACACGGCAATTCACTAAAGTTTATTATTTGCATAAGCCTCGCCGGTTAAACATTTAATTCACGCGCTGATGCGCTGTTCTAACGTGCGCTTTCCTGAGCGCATACCCCCGACGCTCACATGCACTAGAAGCCTGTCAAAACGCGCCTGAATACTGGACTAAGTTATCTTTCTAGTCTTATTATGCTATTTTATAACAAAGAAAATAATGACCACTGGCCTAAATGTATGCCTTTCTCTTTTTCTTTTGTTACCTAAGGCTTTGTTTTTAACATAGGGACATTAGTTTGGCTGTAATGAACAGCCACTTGCAAAATAAACCAACTTGAAAAAGAATCGTGATAAAAAATCGTGATCGTGATTTTCCTAAAAAAATCGTGATATGATATTTTTGCCATATCGCCCACCCCTAGCTGAGGCTATATTATTATGTACTTAAAAATAAAAACTTTTCTGTTAGATGCGATTAGCCTCGATTAATCGATTTGACAGCAATAAAAACAATTAAATGAATTTGAAAAAAGATGGGAAAGTTTATAAAGATAAGCTTTGATGTTGGCTTGATAAAGGCGATTGATAAGCCATTACTATTTAGTTTCTGTAGTGTTCTGAGTGGTTTCTAGTGTGTTGCTAGAATCATGCAAGGGGGTTGCTAGGCAGATGCTTGAGTGCTCTGCATGGTTGCTAGGGTGCTGCAAGTCACTTACTTGGGTGTTCCGGGTAGTTGCTAGGATATTAAATTACAGCTTGATAGATTGAGTTTTGAAAACTTTATGTGGGCTATCAGATGGATAACAAACAGATTGTGGCCAGTCTGGGGGTTTATTCATAAAGTCAAAAAGTTTGTTGCTGTTATTGATCATTTTACCATGTTGCCAAAATCCAGTCAGAATCATAGTGATAAAAAAAATCTCAAGAACATCAGCAACTTTCATCAAGCACTCTAGTTTAGTGTCACAAAGTGTTTACCTAGATCAGAACACTGGGCCACTCGCAGGTGACACTGGCACCGGAAGGGGCAGAAAGGTCCCTCAGGTCCATCGGGTAAAAAAGGTTGTATCAGAATGGGTGGTTTACGAGTCGCAGGCAATTTTTCATCCCCTGAGCCCGGTTCATCCTCCATCATGAAGTCCATGAAGCCAGACTGACGGAAGGGCAGAGCCCAGCATACGGACACCAAAAGCAGGGAGAGACAGGCCGATTTCATGTTGCTGATGAAGGCCTATAGGTAAATGGAGAAGAGGTTAAAGGTGAGGGGTGATATGCTGGATATGTGATAGTGAGAGGTCAAAAGTCAAATGACAGATGTAGAATGCATGAATGTGACTGAGCAATGTGGGTTATTACTCAGCAGAGATGAGGTCAGGGTTCAAATGTAGGCATATTAGAGTAGGCGTCTCTGCTGGCTATTGCTGCAACTTGTAATGGTGTTAGACTGATGGTTAGCCTACCGTATACATTTAATAAAATAAGAGGATTAATTAAATTAAGAACAGAACCTCATGGGTTGAAAGTATTTCAAATTCTCCTTAATTATTCCTTAAAATGATTCATACATTTTTAATCACGTCTGGCATTTGTAATGAAGGGAATCAAACCATTAAATCAAATGCGGTAAACCAGGAGTTTCCAAACTTTTTGCTTAGGACTTGAAATATGATCTCCCTCACATTGGCATAAAATACAGTATTGTTCTAAAGTTTGGGGCAGTTTTGAAAGAAATGAATAGCAAGAAAGCATTAAGTTGATCAAAAGTGACAGATTTTGTCCAATAAATGTAGTTCTTTTGAACATGTATAGAAAAATATTGTAATAAATAATAAGAAATGTCTCTTGAGCATCAAATCAGCATGTTAGAATGATTTCAGAATCATCATGTGACACTTGAGTAACGACTGTAGCATAATCAAATATTGATTTGTGAATACAATAAATTAATTGTGATTATTCTCAATAATATGCAAACAGTCTTTAGAAAGCAAAATGAAACCGTAATAATATCAAATTCTATAAATATTCCATGATGCTCCCATTCTCATCCTTTAGCATCATATAGAACGCTATATGACAAAATGGCGCTATACTACGCACATGGCACCCGTTATCGTTAATATAACACGCGCTGTGATGGGTAGGTTTAGGTGTGGGGTAGGGTAGGGTAGTCTCGTATTACGCTAAAGGATTTATGACGACTTGGGTTCACGTGTTATATTAACGGTAAAGGGTGCCATGTGCGTACTGTAGTATAGCGCCGCTTTGTTCTATGTGACGCTAAACGGGCTGGGGTCCCTGAAAACCCCTGCCATATACTGTTAAAAGGACAACCCTGCACTCTGTGTTTGTGAAAACTGTTGAAAGTTGACCTAAGTTGACCAAACTCATTCATGTCATAAAACCATCTCAGAGAAAGTGCACAAAGTTGACCACGAGCCCACACATAAACATATGTCTGAGGAGAAGTTGAACTCCGTTGAAAGACGAGGAAATTGTAAAGTAGGTACAGTAACTCCCAGAGCCCTTTTCAGGGTCATCTCAGGTCCATGTAATCAACATACAGCATAATTACAGTAGTTCAAATCCTCCGGGCGGCCACATCACTTCCACTGTGCCTCTGTTGTTAAACTCTGGAAACCCAGAAACTGACCTTGACAACCTTCGGGAAAAGATGACTTCCCTTTCCTATTCTCAAGCAGTAGACAGTGATGCATACATTTAATCTTAGTGCAGACCTATAGAAGATGAATTAAGCCAATTTCTACAGTACAAGCAAATGGAGTGTAGATCCAAACATTAGTCTCAAAAGACAAACTTCAAAAACCGAAGAAAATTAATCAGAACTTTAAAACTCCTACAGGTCCTATTCATGGCAACTTAGATTCCTTGTTACTGAGGTTCCTTCAGCTCAGGTCCATGTCCATACAAAACCAGTATTCATGTTTCAAGAGAAACAATGAAAAATTGTAGTTTTATTCAACGCCATTTCAAAACAACAACTTACTGACCTCAATTTAGATATGCTATTTAATATAATGTAATGTTTTCAGGCTTGGATACAATATCCATCCACCTTTGACCCAATGGGTAATGAGACGCTTTGACCAAACACATTGCAGAATCCCTTTGCCCTTTAACATTTAAGCTTTTGGTAGATTTACATTTAAGGTTGTTTTATGTACGTGCTTTCCTGGGCATTGAACCCATGCCTTGTGTCATGCTCAACCAGTTAAGCCATATGAATCCCTTCTTCACTATGCATTCCCAGCAAGAACGATGCCTTGTGAAAAGCCCTTTGAGCATTACAGGCTGTTACCACGAGCGATTCTGTTTGAAGGGGGATCATGGGAAGCTGTTGCTGCATTTGAGTTGTGTCCTGTCAACAAACCACAGGCTGCTATGAGAGCCAGGCAAACAGACAAGACAGATTGATGGTGTCATGCCATTGTTGGGAAAGTGCAGGCAAGGTCTAATGTTCACAGGCAGCAATCTCAAAACTTGGCTCTTGGCGAATAAATAAATTGGTAGTCTCAGTCGTCACGCCCATGGAACGTTGGCTGAAAGGCTCATGCATAAGACGAAATGGGAAACACTTCGAAGTCGTCATCTGATTGGTTGAATAATACAGGATTTCCGGGAGACGTGTGTGTCGCAAAGCTGTTGTGATGCCAAACCCCCTCATGGAAAAAGAAAGCCATCACGTTTACAACTGTGACAATAGCCATGTTTCCATCCACTTGTCAATCGAATTATCTGAAGTTCGGTAAAAAAACACATGCGAATAAAGCTGGCGAAAGTGTGTTTCCATCCAACGGCTTTAAAGCGAATAAAAACCTGTACGTAATGACGTCACATGCTGTTTTGCGATCAAATTGGTATATCGAATTGATTTAAGACATTTTAAGGTGTTTCAATTCATTTTCACACTGAATCGAACGACATTCAAGCAAACTTTTGCGAACAAAGTTTTGTTAGACAAAACGGATCGCGCCATCTACCAACAAATGATCAATATTTCACAAGTTGAAGCCTAATAATGCATGCCAGCTGATAGCGACATATGTATGGGATAATGTATGCGAGGCGGTTGTTGAGGGGGTTGTTTTCGCTATAACAATCGCCTCGCTATATATTATCCTGCTTATTACATATAAATCAACCAAACAAATCAATAAGTTGAAACAAAATATTGACTTAAAAACGAGTTTATTGATTTAAAAACGAGTATTGCAAACAGACTGGCCGGAAATGAACTGGCGTGTTGCAACCATAAAAGGGCCTAAAACTTAATCGCAATTCATTATTTATTCGGCAAATAACGTTTCGATCAGCTTTTATCGCATTAGCCGTATATCGATCAAGATAAAATCCGATGAGACCGAACAAATTTCATTTGAGTCGATTTTCATGAAATTTCATCAAATTTTACTGTTTCCATAAGGTATTTTTCATTCGATATTACTTAATTCAGATAAAAACGTGTCGATGGAAACATGGCTAGAGAGCGCTGGGTTTTCAAAAGTATGTGAAGTTTGCGGCGCCATTGTTATTAAATGAATAATTTAGATGATGCACGGCGGTCTGTTATTGGACATCAACTTTTTATTTTCACACCCCTAAACATGACGTGGAATCAAAACAAACTGTGATTGGTTACTTTACATGTCAGTCAGACGTCCTCTTGGGCGGTTCTTGGCCAATGAAAGCTTCGATGGAGACCTATTGCCATTAGTCTGAAAGTCTGACTACGCTAGACTAACAAATTGGTAACTTTATAAGGAACTCATGTGCCAACTTTGACTTCATTTGGACAAAAAGCGCCCATATAGTGAGCTACAACAAACTAGTTTGTAACCTGTTAATGAAAATGTAATGTGGCGCCACCGGCACCAGTTTAATGACGGACATTTATTGGCGGACACGTGTTCGCTGGTCAAAAAACTGCATTTGAGTTTGACTTTTGTAAAATGTTAACAATATATTGATAAGCAACACATAATTTGTGTTGGGTTTTTTTACCATCGGAAAATGATAATCATAAGCACAGGTGCGCCCCTGCGCTCTTTCGTGATGGATCTTACTCAAAGCGACTGACAGGCTATTTCTAAGAAATTTCTTTTTTGATTTATGATTGCTGCATATAATCATTTAATCACGTCATGGCAATGATATTAAATTATGGTTAATTCAAGGGTGTTAATATGCACATATTCGTTATCTAGCTAATTTTTGATAGTATATTATACTCTCTGTTCATCTTAACATGTATAAACGTAGTAAAACATGTTTTCTTAGGGCTTTAGCCCATGGCTTTATATTGTCTATATTAACATTATTATGGTTGATATTAATAGTAAATAAATCTAAAGCTTTTGAGACTATTATTTTGTTTTATTGAATGTGACTGTGGCGAGGGGTGCGTGGTTTGGCGAGATCTGCAGCGGGAGAGCGAGGGCGGAGCCAGGCGGTGAGTAAGCGGGTCAAGTTCAAATGACGAACACCTGTCTGTGATTGCAGTAATTGGCGTGAGGAGACCGCATATAAACAGCCCTGGCAGACAGCACTTTTGAGAGAGACTGGGAGCTCGTGCACGGACCGGCCAGACACGACGTCTTTACTGAGATTGAGCCTATTGCGAAGCTGTAGCCAGCGGGAAGAGTTTTGCCCATTTACTTTCTGTTTGTGATTTGTTTATTTGAGTGACGTTATTGTGAGCGCGGAGGGCGCTGTGGAAAGAGTGAAAAATAAAAGTGCACGAGCCCCAGATATTGCCGACCCTGTGTCTCCTTCCATCACCTACACTTCACACAGAACCCGATCTGTATCACACTGGTGCCGAAACCCGGGATGGAAGGGGAAGCCGCCGCCAGACAGTCCATGCCAACCCCATTTGCGGAGGTCATCCACGCGCTCGCGGGCCTCCACCAACAACATCAGAAGGCGTTGCTCAAGCTGGAGGAGCAGCAGCAGCGCCGGTTCGAGGCGCTCCTCCAGGGCCAGAAGGAGGACCGCGAGCAGTTCCGGAGCTGGTTGGACCGGGAGGTTCGAGACCCTACCGCGGCTGCAGCCATGCCTCTCCATAAGATGGGTCCCCAGGATGACCCGGAGGCGTTCCTGGACCTCTTTGAGAGGACGGCTACGGCCGGGAAATGGCCATCGGCGGACTGGCCCATGCGGTTGATCCCGCTGCTGTCAGGCGAAGCCCAGATCGCCGCTCAACAGCTGCCA